GCTTCCAGCACAAACCTATCTCATTACAAGTAGTTGGTAAATGTGTGCTGATCCAAACAAACACATAACATTTTCAAGACAAAATCAAAGGGGAAAAAATTGAAGAGAAGTCTCAATTTTCTCCCAAAAGGGAATGGCCAATATACTGAAATTGGATGTATCTAAGTGGGTCTAGGACTCAAGAACTACAAAAATGTTTTCTTCTCCTATGTAACTACTTTATTAAAATACTAAGTGCTAATCTTCAAAACACCAGTAATATTGTCTTGTACTGAACATGCATAAAAACATAATATGACCAAGTAGAAATACAAAAATAAAAAAGATGCTGATTTTTGAAACACATATGGATTTTTTTTCCTTTGATGTAAAGAAGGTTCCAAGGAAATCTAAATTATTCATCATACTTAAGCCAAAAGCAGGGTCAGAATTCAGCAAAATTTTAGACAATTGATTTAAGTTTGTCCATAATGCTTATAGGCAGATCTCATGAACTGGAGTTGTGCATGAGTTGTATTATTGTCATAAATACAGTGCTGTGTAATAAATACACGAGGAGATGTACATGGCCAACAATTCTTAAGTCAACGTCCTTGAGAGGAAGAGTTCATTCGATGAAGCTCCCATGTGGGAAATATCTCCCTTGCAACCACTTTCAGAGCCATGCATAGGACACCTAAGATTTGGCAGTGGAAATGCACATGAGATTATATTTATTTGATAGTTCTGCTGAAAAAAATAAAAAGTATATGGGCTGAATTTTCTATAAGTTTCAACATGATAGAACTTTGTACAGACCTGAGCCATGCACTAATGGAATACACTTTGGGGATAGACTATTTTCACTGATGGTGGTGAAGCAGACATACATTGGTAGGAAGGATAGAGGGATCCTATACTTCAAATGTTCTTTAAAATCTGAGAGGCTGTGACTGTAAGGTTATCTGAGTCATTGGAGACACATTAAATACTCATGATTACCTGTGTGCATCATGTCTTTTCTTCTCCAGATATGGGTTCAAATGTTTCCTTATTTCAGAACTCTTCAACATGAAATTCACCCCCACAGTCTTCATATTTCCCTCTTCCCTGCTCTTTGTTTTTTTCCATAAAACACCTTTGTGATATGTTCTGTATTTATGTTTTGTATGATTTTCCCAACTAGAATGTAGTCTCTCTGGAAGGGAAAGGACTTTGTTGTTTTTGCTGGCTGCTCTAACAACAGCAATGAAGTTAGAATCTGACATATAATGTGTGTTTACTAAGTTGTAAAATGAAAATTAGTCTCCTATATATTGAAAATAATTAGATACAGAGGAAGTGAAAACAATTTCATTATTTTTACATAATTATACAACACTAAAGACTACATTAGTGGTCAGTATATCATATGTGCTTAAGAATTACTGAGAGAATTGATTTGTGCAATATATTTTATTTATTTTTTTTGGGGGGGGTCCAGTCGTGGGGCCTGAACTCTGGGCCTGGGCGCAGTCCCTCAGCTCTTCAGCTCAAGTCTAGTGCTCTACCACTTGAGCCACAGCGCCACTTCCAGCTTTTTTCTTTTTGCTTATGTGGTGCTGAGGAATCAAACCCAGGGCCTCATGCATGCAAGGCAAGGGCTCTACCACTGAGCCACCTTCCCAGCCCCTCAATATACTTTATATATAGTATAATTTATGTATATATTCTTGGGTGTTTTGAAAAATCAATTTTTACATACATGTAATCACATTTTATGTAAAATGTAATCATAAAACTGAATAACTCATTTCATTCACCCTGTTTAACTACCATCACTTGACGTCTCTAACAAAAGTCAAAGTTGTTTTCAAAAAAATAAAAAGGACATATTTCCATTCTGGCTAAACAATTACATGCTTCAGAGTATCTAAAAACAATTATGTTAATTTGATCATTACTAAAAGTGTACATAAATTGGTGTATTACTTCAAACTTCACAACTATAAACAAATGTCTTATACGTTCCAAAAGTTAAATTAATTTTAAAACGTGAACTCAAAGGATCTAATTTTATCTTTATCTCTAAAGCCTCAGAGTTATTTGTGAAGGCAGAATACAATAAATAAGTTAACATCAAAGTATCTAGACAAAAATGTTCTTGGAAAAACCAAAGCTAGAGAACTTATGTTTCCTAACTTCAAAACATACCATACTGATCAAGCTACAAAGCTACAGTGATCAAGAATAGATGGTACTAGAATGCAGACACATAGATTAATAGAGCAGAAATTACTGCCCAGAATGCATCCTATGCTTGTGGTTAATTACTTTTCTATAAAGATGCCAGAGTAATTCAATAGAAGAGAATGTAATCTCTTTGCTAAGCAGTGCTGAGATGATGGAATATCTGCATGCACAAAGATAAATCTAAACTCTTCACATACACAAAAATTAAGTCTAAATGGGTGATATGCCTAAACACAAAAACCTCGAGACTTTAAACTTATGAGTAAATTTCTTAAAATATAAGAATACATTTCTTCTTAGCCATGGGCTAAGAGAAGATTTCTTAATTTTAACACAAAACACAAGCAGTAGAATAAAAAATGCTAAGTTGGACATCTTCAAATTTGAAAATATTTGCTGAGCGCTTGGTTCTCATGCATGGAGTCCTAGCTACTCAGGATACTGAAATTGGGAGGATTACTGTTCAAAGCCAGCTAGGCAAAAATTTAGTGAGATTTCATCTTACCTAAAATTTGGACACAGTAATATATTCTTGCAATCTCAGTTGTAGTAAGAAGCATTATAGGAAGATCACTGTCTAAGCCAGCTTGAGCAAAAGTAAGCCTTATCTCAAAAAATAACCAGATCAAAAAGAGTTAGAGGCATGGTTCAAGTAGTACAGCACCTGCCTAACAAGCACAAAGCTTTGAGTTCAAACCCCAGTACCAACAAAAAGAAAAAAAACATAAAATATTTGTTTTTCAAAAGACATATCTAACAAGTGTCAGTGATATAAAAATAGCTCACAATATAATAAAAAGATATATCAATTTAGAAATAAGCATAAAATCTGAATAAAATTTTATCAAAGAAAATAGAACTAATGAACACAGGAAATGATGTTCACTAGTCACTGAGGAAATAAAAATCAAACTCTTACTTCTCACTCACTAACATCTGTAATCAAAAAGATAAACATGTCCCATGGGATGCAGAGAAAATGGAACTCTTTTCTACCACTAGTGGGAAGGTATCAGTGCTGCAAGAAGTGTGGAAAACAGTTTTACAATTTCTTAAAAAAGTGAATTTACCATCTTATTGCCCAGTATTTGTACTACTATATATTTATCCAAGAGAAATGAAAACACATGGACATTCAAAGACTGGAACATAAATTCATACCAACATCTTCCCTAACAAAAACTAGAATCAATCTAAATATTTGATTGTGAATGTATAAATGAAATATTGTACATTGTTGATATATATATATATATATATATGTAATGGTGGCTGTTTCTATGCACAGCTTTAATAGATATTTATGTGTCTGTATATTAAAATAACTTTATGATGAAGTCCTATAAGCCATAAACTATAAAGTCCTGTATATATTTTAACATTTACAAGAAAATATATGTATGCACAACTACAAATTTGTATCTCTGCAGTTTTCAGCCCATATATAAGTTGATGTTCAAAGTGTAGCTGGTAGTTAGCTCCGTGCTCCGCAAGCTGCTTAACTTTTCACTGTCTCTAATAAGGCAATATGGCAAGAAAATATTCCTCATAGGAAGGGATGCCCTGGCTCAAGAAGAAATGTACTCATTACCTAACTTACATAACTGTAATCAACCACTCTGCACATCGCTTCTACAATGGCAATAAAATGTATTTTAAAGCAATAAAAAACTATGCCTCATACAATTATGGGATTAAATAATAATATATAAATTTCTAGGCACTAGTGTCTCATGCCTGTAATCCAGGTTACTCAGGAGGTTGAGATTTGAGGATTGCAGTTCAAAGCCAGTTTGGGCAGGAAAGTCCATCAGACTCTTACCTCCAAGTAAGCACACACATATACATTTTAAAAAGGCCAGAAGTGGAGCTGTGACTCATGTGGTAGAACAATAGCCTTGAGCAAAAAAGCTCAGGGACAGTGCCCAGGCCCTGAGTTCAAGCCTCAAGGCTTGAACTGATTTCTGTATATTTAGCACTAACCTGGCATAGTAGTAGTGGTCCGAATAAATCTTACCCAGTATTATTTATCTCTTTTACTAACACTCATGGGAAGAGAAGGAAGCCATCTGGTACGGTGGAGAAAGTAACTTCTGCTCTTCCACTCCCTGCCGTTATCTTTTTCATTCTCAGAACCTCAAATGCCCACGCTGTAAATGAGATCCATGATATTCATCTCACAGGACTTCTAATTAGGAAAATTGCATGAAGTGTTTTGTAAACTGCAAACGGTAATAACTTTATAAAGTGGGATATTATTACAACCTGTCTCCTTCTGTACCACCCACAGAATGTTTATAGAAGAACCAGAATAACCACCCATCCTCATCTGAGATAACCCTTAAGGGATTAAGACATTTTCATAGCATGGTGGCAATGGCTAGTCATTTTCAAAGTAACTTTAACTCCCTTGTTGTTTGAAGGCAAAGTGAGAGAAGCCGTGTTACTCCCTATCTGAAACACGCTGCCTGTCCTCAGAGCTATCAGGCTCAGCTAAATATGGCCCTGGCCACTATGTGAATAATCCCCACTGGGTCTGAGACCTCCATCCACCACCGATGTGACATTCTTTGTGTTCAAATATCTAGCTGACGTCTGATGCTTAAAACAGCCCATGCTTTCACCCTGTCCACATTGTCACAGCCCTGTATCATCACTCTTAAAAGGCTCCTGCAGCCACTCCCAGCACCAGTTGTTGACCAGCCTGCCCATTTGCCTCCTTGCCTGCCCTGACCTGTCTTGAATGCCTGGTCCTTCCAGCGCCTTGGGGGTCTGACAAACCGGGGACCATGTCTACGTTTGGCTATAGAAGAGGACTGAGTAAATATGAGTCCATCGATGAGGATGAACTCCTGGCTTCCCTTACACCTGAGGAGCTGAAGGAGCTAGAGAGGGAACTGGAAGACATTGAACCTGACCGAAACCTTCCTGTGGGGCTAAGGCAGAAGAGCCTTACAGAGAAAACCCCCACGGGGAACTTCAGCAGAGAGGCGCTGATGGCCTATTGGGAAAAAGAATCCCAAAAGCTCTTGGAGAAGGAGAGGCTGGGGGAGTGTGGAAAGGTAGGCTCTCTGGACTTTTACTTGGCTGCCCCACGGCAAATCTCTGCTTTATCTAACCTCTCAGTTCTCATCACTTCAATTTTCTTAACAATCCTTTTGTACCAGTTACTGAAACATTGCTCAGGCTGAAATATATAGTCCTGTAACTCCTGTGACCAATAGTAAATGAATCATAATAGCAAAGATTCTCAGCAGAGCTTTTTGATTGACGGAACAAGGAAACCTCAAGAGTAAAAATAGTTCACAGTCAGGGCATGGCTTTAATTGTTTTGCCAAATACCAAGGCCTTATTATCTGTACTTGTAAGTTGGTATTGTAGCATGTCTGCTTTCAGATACAATTTTTCCCCACTTAGGTATTTTTATTTTTGTTTCTTTTCTTGCAATAGTGGCTGGCCATAGGAAAATCATTGTATGTTTCCAATGGTCTGTGCTGCAGGTCTCATCCATGGAACTGGGGGCCTTATTTCTAGTCCTACTCAGTCCTTACATCGTTAGACCTCAGAGAGTGACTTCAGGGTATCCTTTCCATCTGTGCACTGAAGGATTTCAATGCAGTGTTTTGGTGAAATAAGAACATTTTGAAATGTACTAGACCTTCCCAAGAAAATGCACACACCCTTTTGCATAGCATTTCAAAATAATGAAACCCTGCTGAAACTAAAAATACTTGTGCAGATCATCTTGAAGAGACTTTCTACTTTATAATAATGGTTCTGAGACCGTCATGAGAAGTCATGTATCAGTTAGGTCATGTCTGTTAAGCTGTGCGTACTGCTCAGGACAGTTACTTCAAAGTTACTATTAAGTTACTGATGGAAAGACATGTCAAAGACTACTCATCATTGCAATAAAATATTTATTTAAGAAAGGTTTTTGAATTTGTAGAAGAACAGAAATCAGGAGGAGCATTTTTAAACTCCTGTGCTCCACTGCAATCTTTTAAAGTGGAAATGGCTTAAAGCCAGCAGTAAGCTTGCCACAGAACTAATCTGGGAGCTGCTGCATGATCTTGATGATAAGTGTGTGGGCTGCTTTTGCAGCGAGATATGTGTGAGCTTTGTCCATGTCAATCATCGTAGGAAGGGACACTGGGACTGGGCCAGAGTCTGCCTAGGTCACTGTGGCTATCTGTATTGAGTAGCTAGAAGGGGGAGTAACAGGGACACACACACACACACACACACACACACACACACACACACACGCACACACGCACACGCACACACAGAAGATTTGGACTGGTCAATTTCCCCACAACTATAATTTTTAAAGTTGTTTCTTTGAAGTGTGTGAAAATCTAATGAAACTTAATACCATATTTCATTTCATTTCAAACATAATGACATTTTCATTAAAGAATCGCTTTCACAAAAAAAGAATTCAACTGCCTCCAAATACCCAACATGTTCACACAGTCCACCCTGGCAGTAACCAGCAAAGGCATTTTAATGGCAGAATGTCAGGAGGGCGGCGAGAACCAAAGGACAAAGCCTGCTGTCAGCTGTTGATGAAGCCACTCCGATGCTGCCAAAGGTTTTGCTGCTCTTTGCCAATGGCTTATCGGCCCAATTAGAGAGGCTGTCTTGCTGATGAACTTTGATTCCTTTCTCGGCTGGTTAATTTTTCTCCCACTACGCTGTCAGGGCTGGCCAGTTGTCTGTAGTCACAAGGAGTGCTAGCAGAAGGTTGCAGACCAAGGGTGTAAATCCATTCCCACCACAGGAAAACTCTCAAAGCGGCTGAGGGGGGGAAGGGCAGCAGGACAGCTTGGTAAATGAAGGGCAGAGTTGAAAGGAGAATGAAGAGGATCAGAGGACCTGAAGAAACTCTGCAAAGGGTTATGGAAATCCTGGCCAGCACCTGTTGAATCGCAGCCCACCTGGGTTTGCACAAATGTATGGCCGTGTCGAACTCCGGAGGAAGTTTTATGTGCAGTGGTCCAGCTGTCCTTGATTGGGTAGCTGCTGGATCTCAGGCACAGGTGGTTGATGGCTTCCACGCTATCTCATTTCCTTCTTACTTCCCTGGACTAGGGAAATGTATTTGAGGATAACAGTCCAACTGAACTTCAAACTCAGCTCTGTTAGCATAATGAATGTTTCTCAAAACTGAGGGTCTGGGTCCAGTTCCAGGAGTAAGCAGCGTCGCCTGGGAATTCCTGAGAACTGCACATTCGAGGGCTCCTTGGCAGCTGCTGAACAAGAAATGGCAGAGAAGGGGCTCAAGCACATGGGGTCTACAAGTCCTCCAGGTGCTCAGGACACATGTATAAATTTTGACAGTCAAAATTCGCTCAATTCTAGTGCAGTTGCTTTGAGATTAAGAAAGGTTGAATGCTTTGTCTAAAGACAACCAGTTCTTTATAGGGAGAAACAAAACCAGTACTGAAAGCTAAGTCCCTGCCCTGCTTGTTCACGTAAGGATGCCAGAGAGGTGATCGGGAGAAATAGTTGGCCACTGTCTCCTCACAATCTTACTTATTCTTTAAGTATAGTAATGGTCATCACCTCTCTACTTATCTCTTTCCCTATGCCCACCTTTCCTCCTCTGTTCTCCAAAGGATCAAGTTTAGCTCCAAAGTATTAGCATACAGAGAGCTACATAACCCCAGGGTAGGAATAATCTAGACAGGAGCTAAGGTTTGTCTTTTACTCCCTCTTGATGCCCTTCTAATATCCTGTATCCACTGATGGTCTTTCCAGATGTTCACCACCTGAGGTGACTAACCTCAGATTGCTCAAGAATGTCGAAGAATCCTGCATCCTGGGAAAATGCTCAGGCTCCAGACACTAAATCATCTTACCCTACCCAACCTTATCAGTACTTTCTCCTAGGAATTGTTCTAACTCTTAACCAAAGTCATCTCGGATCCATTCAGAAAGCAAATATTTATCCAGAGCCTAGGATATATTAGGGGGACAAGCTATGGGAGTGCACTGCAGGGATAATTTTAGAGGGTGTCAAAGAAAGCTTTCTGGAAGAGAATCATTTAGATATTTTTTTTACATGACAACTCACACTGCCAGGGAACAGTCTCAGATATTATCTTCCCAGGTGCATTTCTTCCCAGGGAGAAATGGTTCAAAGACTTGAGTCACCAGTGCCCTACTTCCTTTGATGTCTTACAATGTCCATAAGGAGGCTGAGATTTGAAGCCAGCCTGGTCATGACAGTCCATAAAACACTATCTCTAATTAATCACTAAAAAAAAAACAAACAAACAGAAGTGGAATTGTGGCTTAGATAGTAGAGGACCAGTGTTGAGTGAAAAATAAGAGACAATGCCCAGACCCTGAGTTCAATGCTAAAAGAGAGTGGGGGTGGGGAGGGGGAGGAGAGAATAAGTGATGGGAGAGTAAGAGATGGAGGGAACAAGGGAGGAGGGAAGGAATAAAGGAACCAAAAACAAAGTAGATTAAATATATTAACTATAATGGTGGCCATAAAAGGTAATTATACCTGGGATTTTTGAGAAAGGTCCTTGTATTCAAGTACTAAAACAGTTCAACACACACACAAACACATGTACACAGCTAGCTGATATGAACTGAAATTATAAGGACAGATACAAAGGTATTTTAGGTGGTGGTGAGGAGAACTCCATAATTATTCTTCTAACTATCCATTTACTCCACTGCTGGACATAAAAGACTTCCTCTTACTCTTCATTTATGTTAAGAAGCTTGACTAGAACCAGATTCATTTTTGTCTTTGGATTAAGATTTATACACACACACACACACACACACACACACACACACACACACACACACACGTTCCTGAAGATGTGGGAAAATTAAGATGGAACAAGTCATCCTAGGAGTAGCTGACCTCTTCCCAGGCCATCATTTGGTGCCTGCCACTCCAAACCACTGCTATTTTATGATAGCAACTGGACAAACAAACCTAGAGTCCAATGCAGAGCTTTCCAAAGCTTGATCCATATACCTCAGACGGCAGCAGCAGTCCTTGGAGTAAAAAAAGTTTTCCAATGTAGAGAGAAGAATTAGGGCTCTGGAAACAAGCAGAGAGAAGGTTTCAACAAACAAAAAAACAATGGATTAATGAGAAAGCATGAAGAAACTGGGCTCTGGCTGCATATTCTAAGCTTTTTTTTTTTAACCATGAAAAGTAACAAGAAAAAGAGAAAGAAGGGACTTCTTAGGCTTCTTTTTAGAGTTTTATAAGTAGTAAAAAATAAAGACAGGATAAAATTATATGTATCTGAAAATTTTTCATCATTGATACACGCTACATAATTTAAAACCACCAGGTTGGGCAATGACTTGCTTTTTCTTCTCTGCTGATCCTCATTGCTCGTTTAAATCAAATGATGGCTAAAGTCATTATCTTTCCTATCTGGCCTTTGACAGGCCATTTCATTTAGCCCTGAGCCCGCTGTAGGTTTTCAGTTGATTTGCTCAATGTTGCTCAATGTTGTTCGAGGTTGAGCTAGATTTTGACTCCTTGCTGTCCTAAGCAATAGCTTTTGGTGCTATGGGTTCCCTGCATTTCTGTGCTGCACTCTACCATACAACTAGATAAATGCTAGAGCAGAAAATCATGTCCTTGCTTCTGACACCACTGAGACAAATGGAACCGAGAGCACCTGGCTTCTGTCTGTAATACTGGCAGCAAATTTGGGTGAGACATTTTGTTTTGGCTTGTTTTTTGAAGTGTAGTCTCACTAGTCCATGTTGACCTGGATTCGTGATCTTCCTTTTCCAACTCTTGAATGCTGGCATTACAAGTGTGTGCCATCAGGGGAAGAATTTTTGAACGTCAATAAAAGGAACTCATGATTATACTATAGATATCTGCTGCCATTTGTTAGGGGTGGAAGAATAGGAGAGGATGAAGGCTGATTCTAGACAGGAGATTTGCATTTGAGAAGGTGCCAAGAAGGGCAATCTGATGTTGAAAAATTCATCCACGTTTTTTTTCCAAAGCCCAAGTTTTGACTTTCTTAATCGAACTGGAAACCAGGTCCTTTTAAAAAAAAAAATCCCAATCAATACTGGATGAACAGTGGATGCTAAGCAGAAAGCACATGGTTGTAGAAAAAGATGCTGATGTCTAAACTCTGAAATGTTCACCTTGGTCACTTGAAACAAAGGACGGTTCGCCTTTTGTCCATGGCATAGGCTTGCGTTATACTTGCCTTGCATTCACGATTCAGTTAATGAATGCAATGCACGGCCTGGTGATGGCTGTCTCCCTCCTCCGCAGGTGGCAGAAGAAGACAAGGAGGAGAGCGAGGAGGAGCTGATCTTCACGGAGAGCAACAGTGAGGTTTCGGAGGAGGTGTACACAGAGGAGGAGGAGGAGGAGGGACAGGAGGAGTCGGAGGAGGAGGACGAGGACAGTGAGGAAGAGTCCACAATCGAAACTGCAAAGGGTGTCAACGGAACGGTGGACTCCAGCCGGGTCAAGCCCCAGACCTTTAGGAGCCAAATGGAAACCATCCACTTAACCAACGGGAGCCGCGCAGGGTCCCCCGCGCCCCCCGCGCCCCCCGCGCCCCCGCACCCCTGCGGCAATCCCACGGTGATCGAAGACACGCTGGAGAAGATTCGGAACAACGACCCCGACACCGTGGAGGTCAACCTGAACAACATAGAGAACATCACGTCGCAGACCCTGGCCCGCTTCGCCGAAGCCCTGAAGGGCAACACGGTGGTGAAGACGTTCAGCCTGGCCAACACGCACGCGGACGACAGCGCGGCGCTGGCCCTGGCCGACCTGCTCCAGGTCAACCAGCACATCACCAGCCTCAACGTGGAGTCCAACTTCATCACCGGCAAGGGCGTCCTGGCGCTCATGCGCGCGCTGCGGCGCAACGCGGTGCTCACCGAGCTGCGCTTCCACAACCAGAGGCACCTGATGGGCAGCCAGGTGGAGATGGAGATCGCCAAGCTGCTGAAGGAGAACACCACGCTGCTCAGGCTCGGCTACCATTTTGAGCTGCCCGGACCCCGAATGAGCATGACGAGCATCCTCACCAGAAACATGGATAAACAGAGGCAGAGGCGGATGCAGGAGCAAAAGCAGCAAGAGGGGAACGATGGCGGATCCAGTCTTAGGACCCACGTCTGGCAGAGAGGAACCCCTGGCTCTTCTCCCTACGCGTCTCCCAGGCACTCTCCCTGGTCCTCCCCCAAACTCCCCAAGAAAGTCCAGACCGGGGGGCGCAGCCGGCCCCCCTCCCCCGTGGCCCCGCCCCCGCCCCCGCCCCCACCCCACAGGCTGCCCCCTCCCCCGCCACCCCCCCCACCGCCTCCACCCTCGGAGAAAAAGCTCATCACCAGAAACATCGCCGAAGTCATCAAGCAGCAGGAGAGCGCCCAGCGGGCACTGCAGAACGGACAGAAAAAGAAAAAAGGCAAAAAGGCCAAGAAACAGCCCAACAGCATCCTAAAGGAAATAAAGAATTCTCTGAGGTCGGTGCAAGAGAAGAAAACGGAAGAAAGTTCTCGACCTTCGACGCCACAGAGATCGGCTCATGAGAACCTCATGGAAGCGATTCGGGGGAGCAGCCTGAGCCAGCTGCGAAGGGTGAGTCCCCCCAGAGCAGACCCCCAGGCCCAGTTCAAGGCCCGATTCAGCTCTCCAAGCGCTTACTCACATGGCTATTCTTATCTTTTGGTATGCTTTTGGTCCTGTGGCGTGGCTTACACTCTGTTCCTGAGCTTTTGTGCTCAAGAATAATAGTGGTGTGCCCCTTGAGCCACAGCTCCACTTCCGGCTTTTTTGAGGGGGTGGGGGAGTTAATTGGAGACAAGAGTCTCACAAACTTTCCTTCTTCCCCGACCCCCCCCCCCCCCCCCGCTGGCTTCAAACAGCAGTCCTCAGATCTCAGCCTTCTTGAGTAGCTAGGATTACAGGCGCAAAGCTATGGGTACCTGGCTATATTTTGAATATTTTAACATGAAAGAGTGAGTATAGACAGTGTAAAAGATGAGAAGCAGGCACAGGAGAGTTGAGAACATTTCCTTCTGAGAGGTATATCTGGGCTAACTTCATATAATTTCCCAAATACAGAAACCAGGGAGTAATAATCCACGTTTCAGAAGGTTGATTAATCCCTTGTCAAAAACAATGTCACACAAAATGGCAAGTGATTCACTGGCAAATTTATAATTTGAAATGTGAATATCATGCAGCAATAATCCATACTTGAGTTCTTCCCAGAGAATACTAATACCGCTAGGGACAGAGCCTGCAAATACTCTTTTCTATTTTATCATTAGTTTTGCTTCACTGAAAGAAAACTTCTGTTTTTGTAGGTGGAAGTTCCAGAAGCTCTGCGGTAAGGAAAAAAAAAAGTTTCTTAGAAGAGGACACTGATGTGTTTGTTCAGCGGTGTTCAAAGAAATGTATTGTGAGATGTTTCGCAAATACCTTCTGTAATTTGAAATGCTCCCTGACTTTAAAGATAGCCTCACCCCAGAATTCCAAAGAGAATTTTAAGAAACGATGAGCAGTTTTCTTCTGTAAATATGAAAATAAACCTTCTTTTTTATGTTATGAGATTTGTATGGGCAGGAAGAAATTAAAGGTGCTCTTCCTGTTTCTGGCTGTCTTGGAGATTTTGAGTTGTAATAAGTTAAAGAAATGTGCTGTTATTTTTGTAATCACAATAAATTTGAATTGCGGTTTTCCTTTCCTTTTTTTTTAAGAAAAAGAGAAACTAATATTTTTCTGTGAGGTGTGTACATAACATTACTGAATATTAAAAATATGACATTCTCACTCCAAAAGGGCTTGAGTCCATAACATTTGCCTTTCTTTGTTTTTTCGTGTCCAAGAAAATCTGACCAGTTCTCTTTCTAAAAGACTGGAAATCAAGAACTTCCCAAAAAAAAAGGCTCTTTTAGCAGTGAGACAAAAGGTTTGGAAAAGACCCCAGTGTGAACATTACCCTGGATTCATGGACAATAATGTTACATGACAGCAGCAATTCCTGTCAGATAACTCCACACATTTATTATTATTCATATCAACTATTGTGGGGAATAAAAGTGTAAATTTAGGAAGTTTCTTGGTTAGGAAGAAGGTCTAGGAGAATGCCCAGAAGGTAAACCTCAAATTCAGAGCTCTATATTGTGGCTGGTGCTTTCATATCTCCTTTGATTTTCCTCAGACAAACCTTAGTCTACTGAGTCTACCCCTCTCCCCTGCTCAAACCTCATTAATGCCAACAACCAACCACAACATACACCTGAGGGCACGGACTTGTATAATTTCTGTCTCCAGCTATCATTCCATCCCTCCTTCCGTAATTCAGGAGACATCAGACTTCAAATAAGAGAAAGATGTACCAGCAAATTTCACCCCACTCTGATTTGCGCAAGTTGTAAATCCCTTCTAAAGTTCTTTGTATTAACTATGATTAACCATGTGTTCTTTGTGTCCTACAGATTAGAACAGGGACCTTAGCAAACTCTCTGGGCCACACATTCAATAATTGTCTGCTTCATTGGCAGAACTTTGTATCATTTCCAGTGAGCATGTTCCAGAAGAAAGATCTCCATGGTTGTCTCCGATGGTTCTTGGGTCTGCTTCCATTAGTTTGCTGGTACTGCCCATCCATTCTCTTGCTCAGTCGGAACAACTATTATAACTACCATATCATGAGGATTCCAGGGGTGGGGAGCTAAGTGCCTGCCCCTGACTTCAGATGAGTGATATTTGATGAACTGAGTTACATTAGGTACACTTTACAACAATAAAGCATGCTATCCTCCCAAGGGCAGAAAGGCTCACCAACATGTGAAATGAGGTATCTCTGACTTCAAAGCCAGGCCTCCTCTGTCAATGCCTTGTACGGTCTCCATCAGACTCAAATGTTCCACAGGAAGACTCCATTCTCAGAAACACAATGCAGGCTGCTGCTTCCTTCGCGAATGACTTCACTATTTTTACCTCTTCCCATTGGAGTTGACAATCAAGCTCATCCTTGTCACTCCAACAAATAAAAACCGAAGTGGTAGTTTTTAAAAAGGTGTGTGTGTGTGTGTGTGTGTGTGTGTGTGTGTGTGTGTGTGTGTGTGTGAATTTAGAGCAGAGAGCTAAAACAGACCTTCTTTCTCCTCAGCTTTGTGTATGTGTACCAAAGGAGAAGAGTGGGAAGTAAACAGTTTCTAACTCCATTCTGTTGAGGTAGAAGAGCAAATGTTTGCCAAGAAACCATATCAACAATAAAGATCCAGACAAAGGGTGTGTGGTCCTCCTGAATGAGTAAGGAGGAGCAGAGTACTTGAGCTGCCAGGAGCTGGTTTGGGCTGGGGAGACTGGCCAGACCTAAGTAAGTGACTAAAAGACTTGTTTCTCACTTATATTATAAAAATTCTGCTTTGCTTAAGCATTTTGTACTTTAAGAAACTGCAAAATTCACTTAGTGGGCTCTTGCTAAAATTTAAATGAAGTTATGGATGTGCACATGTGATCCACTGAACAGAATATTATAATGCCTAAAGTGAGACAGATATTATATGGTCAGATACTGATTAAGTGAATTTTTCATTAAGGAAAGGCACATCTACAGTATGTTATTTCAGAATTCAGTACTGTAAACACTCAAGGAATTACAATCATCGCTATGCAAACCAGAACAGGGATCCTAGTACACTATGCCTATAAACTCACACACTACTATGAACACTAATTAGTTCATCTCCTATAAAGAGCTTTCAACTCATTGAGAGAAAACCTATCCAAGCCTAGATGAAATGTGTTAGGCTATGATTTATAGGCGTACATCAATCTCTGGAAATATATCTCATCTTGATATGGAGCCAGCATGGTGCCTTACCGGGTTCAGAGGCCCTGCTTGTCACAGGTATTTAATAACCCAGGGTCAGCAAGATCTTGATTTAACACTTACCTTGAGCTATGGCTACCAGTGAGGAAAGGAGAGGGGATGCAATATCTTTGTCGAGAGGCTCTCTCCTGGGTGGGGCAAACCTATGCTCTTGAAAAGCTCCTCAAACGACTTCCTTTTCCAACCAAGTTAAAACTATCCCGTTACCCTGTGAGCCTCTTAAGGTAGACTTTTTCTTTCCATTTATCGCCATGTAGCATGATATAGAAGACTTGATCTAAGACTTAGAAACCTCAGAAATCTGGCACAGGTTTGGTGTAGTTAACTTCCACAGCTACTTTTTTTTTTTTGGTTGTGGGGCCTGAACTCTGGGCCTGGGCGCTGTCCCTCAGCTCTTCAGCTCAAGGCGAGCACTCTACCACTTGAGACAAAGCACCACTTCTGGCTTTTTCTGCTTATGTGGTGCTGAGGAATCGAACCCAGGGGCTCATGCATGCAAGGCAAGCACTCTACCACTGAGCCACCTCCCCAGCCCTCCACAGCTACTTTCTGAGTTCCTGTTGTGTTCCAGGTACTCTTCCAGACACTAGAGATACACTGAGTGAAAAAGGAGATCAAACCTAGTCCTCCAGAAGCAATACCACAATGGAAGGAAGAGGTTGACACCATTCCTTATGTACTTGTCATAAAAAAGCACTCTGTTCCAGTTTGGGAGGCCAAGTTGACTTAAAAAATGTCTTCTTCCTCACACAGTGGGGAAGAAACCAACCCTCCCAGACTCACAAAGACCCTTAGTTTCCAAGCTGTTCAAGAATAAGCATTGGGTAGCTTTTGCTGCTGAGCCACATTTTACCATAGACCCTAACTAAAGCAAGAATAGAGTAAAAGAAAGGTTCTCAAGGAGATTGACACTTAATTTGGGCATTTAAATATTTGAGATTTGTCAGGTACCAATGGCTCACGCCTGTAATCCTAGCTACTCAGGAGGCTGATATCTGAGGATCATGGTTCAAAGCCAACCACAGCAGAAATGCCTGTGTTTATCTCCAATAAACCGCTCAGAAAGAGCTGGAAGTGGCATTGTAGTTCAAATGGTAGAGGGCTAGCCTTGAGCACAAATTGGCTCAGAGATAGCACCCAGGTCCAGGACCAGGAAAAGAAAAAAAAAAGAATGGAGACTTACAACTAAGGACATAGTACAATCGCTTATGAGGAAGCCATCCTCACAATTTCTCCATGCAGAACTATGAAAACCTTATAGTGTACATCTTTTTTTCAAAATTATAAGTGCATACTTGAACACATGTATAGCTATTTTTATACAGAACTGGAAGGCAGCTTATACATCACCCTGCAACACACAAAATTTAAGCAACTTCAATAGTTGTTGGTCACTTAGGTTATTTTATTATTCCTTGGGTGGTGAGTATTTCATCTGTTCCACCTCATCCATTGTTTTTTTTAGCTTGCCTAAAAGCCCATATAGAAATAATTGGCTAGAAAAGACTCACAGTTACAAAAAAACCCTGTCTGCTAGATAAACTAAATGCTGTGGGCATCATTGTGGCACATCAAAACTAGCAGTTAGGTTTCAAATCATCAATTTACAAAGTTTTTCATAGTGAAATCATTATATGCCTAACTACACCATATTTTTAAAAAAGGATGGTAGAAGTCTCTATATCTGAATGAAAGAGGTGGCTTGAGCTGAGTCAAAGGGCCTAAATTGAATAAGAGGTACAAACTAAAGAATTTAGATTCAGACAAAACCCAGAAGGAATATCAAAGGATTGTAGAAGGGGTAGTGGCATGATGTGAAAAGGTGTGTCAAGAAGGGGCATCTTTGATCACCAACTGCAAGTGTTTGCTAGGCTTAGGTCCAGAGAATGTGAGCACAAGTCATTGAAAATGGAAGCAGAAAAACAACTAGGATCATGTGTGTTATGCAAGTGGATGATACCTTTATTCTGTCAAGTACAAATAACTACTGATGAACTCTAAGCAGGCAAATGGTGTGATTATGTAATCCAGAGAAGGATGGCTCTAGCAAGGCTCAGGCTGTTGGAAAGGCCCATTGTAATGACCTACGAATAAAGTAATGCAGACTGTGCTGTATGAGGGTGCACAGGCCAACAAATAAAACAGAGCCTAAAGAAAGTATAAGCTCTCCAAAGTTCAGTTATTAGTTAGTTGGAGGAGGCAAGAGAAAACAACAGAGAAGAGTCTAGATTGACTACTGCATTCCTGGCTGTGCAATTTAGCACGTCAGGAAATGGAATAGAGAGTTTAGCATGAAGAATTATTGAACAAGCAACATGAGTCAAGCTAAAAATACACTATCTGAGGTGTCTGAATTGTGGAGACGAAATTTGTGTTGAAGATCACACTGCATGAGAAGTATTTAATAGTAGAGCTTTTGATGAGCTCCTCCTAGGTGAGTAGAGAGGACAGAAAGATGGTATGACCAAAAAGAAAGCAAGAAATTAGAAA